AAAAAAAAGAAAGAAAAAAAAATCCCATAAATGATTTGTTGTGGTGGTTGTGGTTTTAGGGGTAAAAAGTAAGAGTTCGGCAGTGAGAGAGTTGCTATTGCCCCCATATCCTGGCCAGTATTTGGCATTGGTTTTTTTTTTAGATTTTTAGCCTGGTAGTGTCTCCTGTAAGTTGGCGTTCCCTTCCTGGGAATTACATCCCGTTCTCTCCCTTGCTTCTTTGCAAGCTCATCTTCTGTGGCCAAGTGTCTGCTCAGAGCCTTTGCTTACTTTTTGGTGAGATTTTCTAAGTGTTGAATTTTAAGAATTTTATTGAATATTCTGGATGTAAGTCCTTATCATATATGTGATTGTCAGATACTGTCTTCCATCTCTGGCTTTTTTTTTTCATTCTCGTAACAGTAACTTTCTCAGAGCAAAGTTTTAAATTTTGATGAAATCTGGTCTGTTGATGTTTTTCTTTCTCCATCATGCTTTCAGCACTGCGTGTGAAAACTCAGTGCCAAACCCAAGGCCACACGGATTTTCTCCTATATTTTTCTTCAGAACTTTTATAATTTTGACTTCTACATTTAGATCTAGGATCCCTTTCATATTACTTTTCATGTAAACTATAAATATGAGTTCAGCTTTTTTTCTTCTTATGGGCATCCAGTTGTTTCAGCACCATTTGTTTAAAAGATTGTCCCTTCCCTGTTGATTGGCCTTTTTATCTTTGTCAAAAGTCAGTTGACTGTATTTATGTGGTTCTATTTCTAAACTCTAATAGCTTTATTAGAAACCTTGAAATCTGTCAAATCTGCATTATACATAGATGAGCACAATAGACACCCACCAGTGTAAAATTACCCAGAAGTTAAAGATCAAAGCCCAGAAACCGCAGTGGTCTTAGAGGTAGAAACAAAGCAGTAAACTTTCTACCCCCTTACCAAAAATTCTTCAATAAATATGAATAGCTTGAGCTCCCCACTGAAGAAACATAGGCCAGTTCAATGGATAGAGAAATACAAGCCTAGCTGGGTGTTGTGATGGGCACTTGTAGTCCTGGCTCCTTGGGAGGCTGAGGCAAGAGAATCACTTGAGCCCAAGAGTTTGAGGTTAGAAAATCAATGTACACAAATCAGTAGTATTCCTATACACCAACAACAGGCAAGCTGAGAATCAAATCCTGCACATACATTGTTAGGTTTAATACTCTTATTTTGTTGTTGTTGTTGTTGTTGTTGTTGTAAATGTTTTTTATTTGTTTTTGTTTGTTTGTTTTTTTGTTTTTTGAGGCAGTCTCAAGCTGTCTCCCTGGGTAGAGTGCTGTAGCATCATAGCTCACAGCAACCTCCAACTCTTGGGCTCAAGTGATCCTCTTGCCTCAGTTTTTCTATTTTTAGTAGAGACGAGGTCTCGCTTTTGCTCAGGCTGGTCTCGAGCTTGTGGGCTCAAGCAGTCCACTCACCTTGGCCTCCCAGAGTGCTAAGATTACAGGCATGAGCCACCGAGCCTGTTTTTCTTACTACAAATCCCAGCTGTTCATTTCTGGTACATAGGAAAGCTATTGACTTTGTATCCTGAAACTTTACCAAATTTACATGTAGATTGTTTGGGGCTTTCTACGCAGACAGTCATGACATCTGCAGATGAAAGCAGCTTTACTTCTTCCTTTCCACTCGCAGGCCGTTTACTTCTTTTCATGCTTTACTGCCCTGGCTGGAGCTTCCAGTGCAGCGTTACATGGACAGGTCAGCGAGGACACCCTCGTCTTCATCCTGATTTCATGGGGAAAGCATTAAATCTTTCACTAGTAAATATGATGCTGTTGGTTTTGGTCCATGTATCACCAAAGAAACAAGTTCCTTTCTATTCCTAGTTTTTTGAGAATTTTTATTAAGAATAAAAAACTATCCTTATTGACTTGCATGTAATGCTTTTTTCTTCATCTGTTGATATGATCAGGTGGTTTTTCTTATTTAGTCTGTTAATATGATGAATTATATAGATTTATAAATATGAACCATGCTTGTGTTTCTGGGATGGACCCATTTGGTCCATGATGTGTTACACTTTTCACAGATGAATGGATTCAGTTCACTGATACTTGTTAATGGTTTTTGTGTCCATGTTCACGTGAGAAATTGGTCTAAAGTTTCCCTGTAATCGTCTCTCTCTGGTTTTGGTGTTAGGTTGATCTGGTGTCATAGAATGAGCTGGAAAGTATTCCTCTTTTTCGGTTTTTTGAAAGAAATTATGTAGAGTTTGGTATTATTCCTTTTTTAAGTATTTGATAGAAGCCACCAATGAAACATATGGGTATGGTAATTTTTTGGAAGGTTTTTAACTGCTACTTCAAGCAAATATCATGCATTATAGGATTATAACCAATGCAGCATACCCTTTTTTCTGAAATGTACAAAGTATTTCTTTTAAAAAATCTTAAATGTGATGTTAACAGTGTACCAAATATTTTTAATTCAATTATCGTCAGGTTGAGGATGTAAGATAGTCTGAGTAAAACTGTGAATGTCAGTTGGAATTCTGAATCCTCTCTGAAGTTGAAGTCGCGTCCTTCCCACCACCCAGAGGAAGGTGCCCTCTCCCGTGAGCGTGTGGCTTCCTTCCCTTCTCAGAGCTCATCTGTCTGCAAAGTGGCACGCTCAGTTCTTATCACTTCTCATCTGCACTGTCACACGTGCAGCCCCGGTGTGTGGCTTTCCACTTTTCAGGGCTTCTCTGCGTGCACAGACAGGACTGCAGCAATCTGAGCTGAAGGAGACCTCATATCCTTGTGTTCTGAGAAAGTTTCGTTTTTCTTTTAAAATTGCCCAGTGGGTAGTGTGTTCATTCTGCCTGCTCCCCTTCCACTCCTTTCCCATGACTTTTGACAGGCTGTTAATTTTCTAGTGTAGCCAAGGAGTGAAATGGATAAAGTCTATTTAGACATTGTCAAGCCAGAGGATAAATGGCTCGTTAACAGCCGCAGCCAGCGCTGTCCCCGCCCGGGAACAGATGTGCTAAGTTGGGCATTATTTTTCCATTGCATCCCCACTTCTGTCTTTACCTCAGGATCCTTTCCTTCTGTTCTCTTGTGACCACTAAATAATCTGAATGTAATCCCAAAGTTAATTATTAAGCATGATCAGTGGCACAAATTTTAGAAAAGCTAGATCAAGTGCGCTGTGGGTACCCAACTCTCTTGCCATTACTTTCTGGCCTCCATCCTGTGCTTGCTTATTACAAGTTTCCTCACAAAATTAGCAAAAATAAAGAAAACTTTGCAAAAAAAAAATCACTAAACTGGCCAAAAAAACATTAAATGATAATGCTTAATGCTGGTAAAATAAATGGTTACATTTTAGATTGGTTCGAGACTTCTGTGATAATCCTACCAGTAGGAATTTCTCTTAAGGAACCAATCCAGCACAAGGGAACAATACCGCACAAAGGTGCTGCTGGTGAAGCCTGTAGTTAATGGTGCAGAGGTGAACATGAGCTGCCTGTCAC